CAAACTAAAGCTGTGAACAATCTCAATCTCTTCACCATCCATCCTGATGCTGCCAATAGGTCCAGTGGTGAGAATGGTGGTGGTAGTAGTAATAATGTTTTTATTTTATTATTATTATTTTGTGTGTCTGTGTACCATCAAATCAGATCTGACTGGCACAGGAGGCGATTGTCCTTCCTTTTACGGCAGAGCATCTGGTGGACTCAAACAATGCGCCTCTGGGATTGCAGAGCAGCTTCTTGCTACTAGGTCACCAGAGCTCCCCAATAATAATGTTTTTAAGTGCTGTTGAGTCATAGGTGACTCATAGCGACCCTATGAACGAAAGTCCTGGACACCTGTATAACTTTCATCCTTTCTCCAGGTTCAAAGGATTTCCAGAGACAAGCTATTATGGAAGTGGATGCCACTAATAATAATAATAATAATAATAAATATTATTAATAATCCAAGTTCTGTAGTCATTTCATCTCCCAGTGATGCTAAGAACAGTTTAAATGTGCTCAATGCGCTTTCCAGGCATGTAATGTCTTTTTAAACATTTTACTGGTGTTATTGTCACAGACCAGTTTCTACAGCAAGGAAGTGGGATGCAAATTGATTTCAGGAAGAGACTTGAGAACAACAGCTGATAGTATTCATCGCCGCAAAGCCTGTAACATATCCATCCAGGCAAACCAAGCGTCCTTTCCGGTCTGCAGTAATAAATGCAGATGCCAGGCGTGCGGGCCAGCCTCAGACCCAGGCTGGTGCTTCTGTGTGTCTGTCAGAGTGTCATGACTCCCGGCTGACTGTCCCGAGGGAGGGATTTCAGAGACAGAAGGGAAGCTGCCCATCCTTCACTTGAGGAGCAGCTGGTGGATTCGAACCACCGACCTATGCATCGGCAGTGCGATTCCTTACCACGAGGCTACCAGAGCTCGCTCACACACACACACACACACACACACACACACACGAGGATTAAGCTAAGACTCAAAATGCATGCAGAGGCCAGCTCCCACGGCTGCCCCCCTCGAAAAAGACGCCACCCAACAGGACATGCAGTAAGCAATGAAAAGAGGGGATAAAGCTATACAAATGAGTGTGGAAAAAACAATTTTTAAAAAAATCACCGTAGGTGGTCTTGTTTCCAGTGGACAATAAAGATGGAGGGAGGGCAATGGGTGGGAATATATGAATAAAGCCAGTCTCTGCAAAACAGAATCACAAGGGAGTCCTGATTGCCTAGTGGCAAGAAGCTGCACTGCAATCCCAGAGGTGTGCAGTTCGAATCCACCAGACGCTATGCTGGAGGAGGAGGGGCAATCTCCTCCTGTACCAGTCACGGTACACACACAAATTAAAAAATTTAAAGAAATATAATCACAGAAGATTGTAATGATTGTATAAAACACAAGGGACATGATTGTCTGCAAATTTAAAAAAAAGGTGGAATGGTCTGATATCCATGGGAAGTATGGTTGAGACTGGCCCTTACTCCTTCAATCGGGGACAAAACTCGCCTCTGTGCTCAACACAACTCTAGAAACCTCAGTAACCCTCTGACGTCTCCCTCCAGCTTTCTGATGCTCTAGATCTTTCCAGGGGAGCGCAGATTGTGTGGCACTCTCCGGAAGGGCAGCAGACCCTCTGGGTCTCCTCTCCTCCCTGCCCTCCTGTCCTCACCCCCATCCACTCCTCAAGCCCAGCCTCCTCCTTGTTACCATGACGACTGCATTCTCACAGGTGATCGAGGCCTTGAGCCCACCACCAACCAGCAGGTCACGTGGAGCTCTGTGCCCCACCCACCACCACTACCCTTTTGCCCACGTCTCTCCCAGACTCACATGGTGGGGCTTTGGAGAACTTTGCCAAACGTCTCTTCACTAATCCCAGGGGAAGAAGCGGCTATCATTTAACCGTCCAGCTGGGGAGATAGTGGGATCGTACCTCAGGACATCAGGGGCCTAGGGGGTGATGACCAAGAGCCCAAACAGTAGTGGACTGTCCCTCACGCCTGGGATAAAGTGCCAACCTGTCACCACAGGAACCACAGAGACTGGGGACAGAGTGACACCGTCCAACTTGCTTATTTCACAGGTGAAATAGAACTGGGCATTCAAGATGGGAACCCCAGAATCTGGCCTACAAAATAGCTCTTTGAGAAGCCCACCCTGGGAGGCAGGGCTGGGGTCCAGTTAGGCTTTGGTCAGATGCTCCCATAGCCAGAAAGATGCTGTGTGCATGTTATACCTTGTCTGCACATTATACCAAAGTATCATTTTAAAAAGACAAAAAGATTTCTGGGGTCAGCAAGTCCCAAGACCCTGAACGAGACAGATCCAACAGTTAACATAGCTAATATTAGACCAACAGTGATCAACCTAAGTGACACCACTTAGTCACAAAAAAATCTCTCACCACTGGGCCCATTGGCAGTATCATGATAGAGACTGTTAACAGCTTCAAGTTTAGATCCACACTCTGTACCAGCAGCAAGGAAATCAAAAGACAAATTACACTGGGAAAATAGGCTGTCAGGGACCTCTCCAGAGCACTGATGTCAGGCTAGAGACTAAGGGTGCACCTGATACAAGCCATGGTCTTATGCATCACATATGACAATGACTAAGGATGACAGAATTGATGCCCTTGAACTGTGGTGCTGGTGAAGAGTACTGAATATACCCATGGACTTAAGAACAGATTCAGCCTTGAGAGCGTGAAATCAGGTTACTCCTCAGAGGAAAGGATTCTAAAGCTGAGTCTGGCAAGTCCTTGGAAAGGGACCTCATGCTTGGGAGGGTAGAGTAACAATCAAGAAAACCCTGAATGAGGGTACAGGAGAGGAGTCCACTGGATGAGATGGACTCAGTGACTGGGGTAAAGGGGGCAAGGAGTGTCTGAGACAGTAAGTTGGGCTCAGGATAGAACAGGGTTCAGAGCTGCTGTACACAGGGTCAATGGCAAACAACTCAGCTGCAGGACAACTCTAAAAAAGGACAAGTCACACCTAATGAGTGAGAAGCAGAAAATTTTATTTACATAGCACAATTTTGGAGTCAAAGTCCAAAACAAAAAGGAAACGGTGGATTGGTAGGAGATGGTCTGGAAGGACGAGGAAAGCAAGAGTAATGGAGTTTGCAGGTTTGAGGATCCCTCTGAAATGAGCTGCAATTAGCATGTCTGGTCCTCGAAAAAGCCTCAGCAGCACAATTACAGGTTAAAGATGGTGGAGCAAAAGAGAGAAGAAAAAAAACCAAGGGTTGGTGAAGAGCAAAACACAGTAAGGATTTGCTTGTACACAATAAGCTAATTGCATTCATTACAAATTTTGCCTTACGACTGATTCCCAAATTTTCAGTAACTTAAGTGGAACACAATTTAACACATCAGTAAATAGGTCTTGAGTTCCATTATCCAGGATTTTAGACTTAGATGCTAGTAGTCATCTCACTAAGTATGTAGGTAAGAGGTGCAATGCTTTATGCAAAGAAAATCACATGCACACGCTGTTTTTCTTGGACATCC